TTCACAGCCTGCAGCCCTCCCTGGGAGAAGGCAGCCGTCATGCCCTGTCCTTCTGATGGCACAGCAGGGAGTCCCTGCTCTGCAGCACGACCTCATCCTCTACACCAGAGAAGCTCTGAGAGTTGTACTTACTGATCTTGTAATTTGTGGGATGTGCCAGCTTTAGGAGACCCTTCAAGGAAATACAGCTGCATTGCCCTGCAGCCAGCAACTTACAGTGTCAAGAGCTGTGAAGGATTCTCCCCCAGTGAGGCCTCAGCATCCTCCCACTCCAGGCTGCCTTTATGATCTCTCTGTCTGGATGGACTCCCTGTGGTGCCTGCAGGCAGTGCCCTCAGCCCTGCTGTGCTTTGCAGAGGAGCTGCTCCTTGCCATCAGCCCCCTTCCTCCAGGTGTCCCTGGGGATCCAAGGGTCCCTAATGTGAAGCAGGCTGAAGTCATCCCTGATATTCCCTCCCTCCACTGGGGAGAGACACTTCTTCCCAGCGCTGTCATTTCTCCTGTGAAGAATAGATTTATGCATGGGAATCGCCTTTCATTATCCCATCATTAGACAGGACAGCCAGACATTGAGCGATCTCTCATCTTTTGTGGCACCACCACAAAACCATAGAGGAAACACAAAGAGTAAATTTATTTTTATTACCCCCACAGTCAGGAGATAACCGAAGCAGCACCTCAGCAGACACACAAGTGAGGGCGTAGGCACTGCAGAGCTGGGTCCACGATAGAGGATCACCAAACCTGGTGGGTTTGCCTGTTTATCAGGGATTCACACAGGCATAGGTTACCACTGTCCTTTGATCTTTCCCACAGCAGGGCAGGAATCTCAAGCATGTTCAGCATGGTACCTGTTGGAGTCTGTCACAGGCCTATGTTATCTAAACACAGATGTTCTACTGGGCAAGCACACAAGACCAAACAACACTTAGTATGAGATGTGTGGTTTTCTACACCCCAGCTTCAGGTCACTTGAGCGTGTTTACAATCCTCCTTGCCAATTTTCCGTTATTTTCCCACATTCCACCCCCTTGCTCAAGAGACCACTTCTGCTGGGGCTGGCAAAGCTGGAGGTGTCCATTTGGGCCTGCAGGGTGTAGTGCAGGATATTTTACAGGGGCAACAAACAAATCTAGGCAACAGACACATCTAGGAAAAGGAATAAACATATCCCTAGAACAATGTTGTGAATCAGGTGTTGCACTCATCCTGTCAGGGAATTAAACCACTCAGCCAGCCAGGCACCACCAGGAGATTGCTTCATGTGACGCATGAAGTCCTGGAGATGGTGACTGTCATCCTCTATGCTGGCTGCTTCATCTGTTATGTTGAAGCAGCACATGCCTTCCAAATCGAAGCAGAGATTATGGTGTCAATGGAGGAGATGGTCCATCGCCAAGTGATTTGGTAATATTTATAGGTGTACAGCTGTTATGCACTCAGAAAAAATTGCAATGAGAAGCATGAATATCAAAATCACTTAGC